GTAAATATTACAAAAAAGCTATAGACAAATATTCAATTCTAATTACTCAGAGGTGAAGTGCATTAACATATATAACATTTTTGAAACACATTAAAGAATTCAGGTGGACTTGTGGGTAGACCAATGGACAGACAAACAGGTATATAGGGAAGTAAATGCAATAAAAAATTATAAAACAGAGTTTATAGAGTATGAGTGTTCATAATACAATTCTTCAACTGTTTTAGACATCTTAGTGATTTTATAATAAAACGTTAGGAAGTGATACCTGCTTGGATTTTTTAAAAACTATATATATATATACACACACACACATTCATATAATCACTTTAAACACAAATATAAATTTTATGCTGCTGATCTAAGGAAAAGAAAGATCTTAGGAGCAGGCAAATAAATATTCTTAACAAACATGACATTCTGAATACTCATCAGAGTCATATTTACCAGGGGATAATACTGAATGGAAAGAAGGTTAAGGTGATAAACAACAAACTCTACAGACTGTTAAAAGAGATCTCTGCGAGGCCACAGTCACACAGTGGCTATAGGAAAACAATGCTGCAATGCATTGTCTACAGATTATTTTTTTAGACAATGAAGAACAGTATACTCGGAAGAAACTGGAACATTCTAGTGTTGCACAGCATTTGTGCAAATGACCACTGAGACAGACTTTTATTTTTCACTATAAATCACTGGCTTTTAAAACACATTGGTAGAAAATGAAAGCAAAATAACAAAACATGAACACTAGAGTTAGGTCTAGATGCAAGGGGCAATTCTGTTATTTGGTGACTAAACAGTTTGGGATAAAATATCTTGACCAACCAGAGTCTTTATTTCCCTCAAGAGCATTAAGAGGAAAACATGGTTTACCTGACAAAGATTTTGGGCATATGAAATGAGATCAAAGATGTAAAAATTTTATTTTGTTGCCCTGTAAGTACCCTGTAAATATTGTTTCACCTCTCTCCTTTTCCTTTTATAAGTAGTAAAAGTAGTAAGCTCTTGGTTTTTATTAATGCTAGAAAAAGCATCTATTGTAAAGGTTCTCTAGGTCACAAACCACTTTGGAAATACTAAAGAGGAAAAAAACTGCCTGGTCCCTTCCCAGGCTATTCAGATATTTTCATGAATCTACAAAAAGGATGAAAGTGCATCTGCCATTTCTGGTTTTCCCCAGGCACCTGGTATGAAATACAGGTGAATGTTTATTTGGGGGTGTATGCTTCACTTTAAATAATATCATCTCTCTAGTCTCCCTTTAAAAAAAAAAGTCCTTTCTAGTGAAGGCTATTTGTGTATGAACAACATCCCAAATAGTTTCACTAGACTGAAGAAGAAAATACAGAAAATTTTAATTTTCCATAGGTTAAGAAAAGTGTTCAATTTAGTGATCAGAAATACTTATCACTCTGCAAGAGACTGAAACAGCCAGGGACAAGCTGTCTGTCATGTTTCCAAGAGGGAGGGAGGCAAGCAAGTATTTCTTAAAGAAAGCAATTCAACTTTTTAAAAATAATTTTGTACCATTAAGATTATCAAACATAGACAAATGTTTAACACATCTCTCTGTACCCATGGCCCATTTTCAGCCATTACCACCAGGCCCATTTTAAAGCTAGAATTTTAGAGATACTATCTAATCTGATTGTATCAGACACAGTAATTTACAAGACATGTACTTTCACAATGGTATTCCCCCTGGGGACAGAAGAAATCTTTACAATTAAAACCTCAAAGTCACAGTGGAAATAACCCAAATTCTAGTATTTTAAATACCATATTGATTTTCTTTTTCTTAAATAACTTTAGAGGAGGGCGAATCTTCCCAATGTGTAGAGTTTTTCCTTCAAAATCCCTTTGAGTCAACATACTATATAAGTAATGATAACAAAAGTCCTAAGGTTTCCAACTGAAGAAGCTTGGGAAGACAAAGGAGCACAAGAGAAAGGAACAAAGTGGAAAGGGCTAGGGAAGTACAAATGGTAATGAGAGCTGCTGGACAAAAAATGAAAGGAAGATAGAGGGTATATTCATAGACCAGAACCTTATTATGCCATCATTCTTGTAACTTCTAAACACAGGGTCATCACATTGTCTTAGATAACTTAATCACCTACTAACACAACTGCTCTTGCCATTTCTCCAAAGTTATCATAAAACCAAAAGGAATAGCCTTCTTCACAGATGCCACAATGTTTCTGCCACTTCACCCCTTAGCATTAAGAAAACCACTTGAGGCATATAATTGAGTACCATCTTCCTTCTCTGCTGTGGGAAAGCCTTCTATTCTTCTTAGGGGACAAAACAGAACTTGCTGTAAGCAGGAACAAACACAGCAAAAGGAAGCAAAATTCCTCCCCATCTGTCACTCCCTTAGCCTCAAATTATATGCAACTATGAGCTGATTCATGTGGATGGGATTTTCACTACAAGAAAGCTTGGGTTCCCTTGCAGAGATCTAGAGAGTTCCAATTAAGCAGGCTGGATGAAAAGGGGTGATATCATGAGGCTAAGCAGCAAGCTTCAGGCCTCAACACATTAGTCAGAAATGACTCTATGGTTAGTTTATACACATGACATCACAGTCTGAGCTGCGGTCCCTTCCTGAACCCACCTAACTGTGTTCACTGTCATCTGACTTAATTCAAAAGGAACTTTCATGACTTTAAACGTCAATGTAAGCTTCAAAACCTACAAGTAACTAGCTATGATTTTACAGAATATAAATTTGGGCAATGTTTTTTTCTAAGCATTCTGGAGGTGTTTTTTTGTTTTTTTCCCCCTAAAGGGGAATACTTATTCTCCTCTCACTGTGAGTGAAGTTTATAAGGCCAGTTGGATCACAAGTTACTAGAAGGATCAGGAGTAAGACCAGAATGTCCTCTATTACTACTCCTATTCAATACAACACTCAAAACTTTAGCCAGAGTAATTAGGCAAAAGAAAGAAAAGGTATATGTAGAGGATAGGAAGAAGTCGAAGTATATTTACTTGCAGACATGATCCTTTACATACAAGATCAAAACTTGAGCAAAGACTCCTAAAACTAATAAATTCAGCAAAGTGGAAGGATGTAAAATCAATACACAAAAACCACTGCAATGATGTACGCCAATAAAAAATAAATGAGTAAAACAATATCACTCAAATAGCTCCCCCCCAAAAAAATCATTAAGAGACAAAGGAAGTAAAAGACTTCCCCAATGAAAACTATAGTACTCTGAAAAAGGAGATCCAAACAGACATCAGAAAATGGGAACATATCCCTCGTTTTTGGTTAAGCAGTTATATTTGGTTATATTGCTAAAATGGCCATACTTTCAAAATTGATAATACATTTAAAACAATTCTAATCAAAATACCAACAGCATTCCTCACATATCTGGACAAAACAATCCTAAAATTCATAAGGAACCAAAAGAGACCCCAAATAGCAAAAGCAATTCTGGGCAACAAGGGCAAAGCCACAATCCCAGATGTCAAGTTGTATCACAAAGGTACAGTGATAAAAACAGCAAGATACCGGCACAAAAAGAGATATGTGGATTAATGGAGCAGAATACAAGATGCAGAAACAACTGGAGGTACATTCAGCTACCATCGGATCTTTGACAAAGGGGCCAAAAACATATGCTAGAAGAAAGCCTCTTCAGCTAATGGTGCTTGGAAAATTGGCTGTCCACATGTAGAAGACTGAAGCAAGACCCATATTCCTCATCATATACTAAACAAAAATGGATCAAAGATCTAAATTAAATCAAAAATAACCTGTTGAAAGATAAAATAGGTAAAAACTCTTGAAGATACAGGCAACGACTCTAAACAGAACTGCATTTGTATAAGAAATAACATCAAGAATCAACAAATGGAATTATATCAAATTAAAAGGCTTCTGCACAGAAAACAAAACAACCAGCATAGTGAAGAGACAATCTACTGAATGGGAAAAAAAATTTGCCAACTACTCCTCAGAGAAAAGACTAATATCTAGAATATATTAAAAATAAAACCCTTGAAATAATTAGACTCCTCCCCCAAAATAAAAAGGCCAATCAAAAAAATGGGTAACTGATATGAACAGACACTTCTCAGAAGAAATATAAACGGCCAATAAATACAGGAAAAAATGTTCAATAGCTCTGTCCATTACAGAAATGCAAATTAGAACAACACTGTGATTTCACCTTACTCCAGAAAGAATGGCTATCATCAAGAAATCAAATAACAAAATGTTGACAAGGCTGTGCAGAAAAAGGAACCCTTCTAAATCATTAGTGGGAATGTAAATTAGTACAACCATTACAGAAGTGAGTGCGAGATTCCTCAAAAAAACCTAAAAATAGATGTTCCAGTCAATTCAGATATTCCCCTTCAAGGTGTCTTACTCAAAGAGTTTGAGACATCACATTACAATGATACATGCTTGGAAGCAGCCCTTATGTCCATCAACAGATGACTAGATAAAGAAAACATATTTATATACAATGGCAGCCTATTCCACCATAAAAGTAGGTTAATTGAAGTCATTTGTAGGAAAATGGGTATACCCTGAGACCATAACGTTAAGTGAAACAAATCAGATACACCAATTTAAATATCACATAGCTTCTCTTATATGAAAAACTCAAAGTATAAATAAAGAGAAAAATAATAGGTAGCAAGAAATACGGAGATAAATCTTTTACAAATGGGAAGGGGACCTAGAGGAGATGAAGAGAAGGAAAGTGGAAGAAAAAAGAATTAAGATGTGTTATGTATACATACCAATTCCCCATGATGTATGTAATTATTATACATTACAAACATACACTAATAAAAATAAAAATTTTTGGAAACCAAGTTATGAGCAGGAGTCATGTATTAAGGGGAAGTGAGGTACCTTGAAAAGACATGAAACAAGAATAGGAAACAAAGTGAAAAAAGAATTAAGGAAGGCCTAACAGGAATATTAGAGTTGATGGACCTAGACGAAAAAATGATACACTCAATACCTTTGAGAAGATGATGCTGTCCATGTCATCATTGGGTGAATGAAAGAGGTCAGAATCACTCCCAGATTCTCTCTGAAGTACACCTTGTTTTGAGGCACACTCTCTGTCCAGTCCAACATCCAACAAGTTCTCACATTCTGGAAAAGAAAAGTTTATTCAACTGATATCCCCCAAAGTATTTTTCCATCTTCTGTTCATCTCAGAAACTATTTTTCATCCAGTATCTAACTCTTTTTTCTCTCCTTTATTTTTCCTCCCCTCACTGCTGCCTTCCTTGTCTTTTTTTTTTTTTTTATTTTCATGTATCAGGAAGGCAGAAAGGACACAGTCAAATTCTGTATTAGCTTTTAGCTCTGCTTCTGAAGTTCTAGGCTGATACAGTTACTATGGCATACCCACGAGTCTGTCATGTTTCTGTAAGGTATAAAAAGAAAAAAATGATTTAGAACCATATTTTACCTAAACAGTAACATCTTTCTCCTGTTAACTAAATCATTTTCTTGTATTTCCAAAATCTGAAGTTTATAACTACAAAATTATGTGACAGAGTTTGTAGACAATTTCAGTTCTGGGACTAAAGTCCTTTCTGGAAACTTATGCCTTTCCAAAATTGTAGTATAAAGAAGATCATCTATAATAAACACATCAAATATTAAACAATAGGGTCTACTAAGTAATAACAGAAATGAAATTTAAACCTTTTCTCTCTTAAATAGATCTTGCACTGGGAAAATAACAAACTAGAGTAGAAAAATGTATCATCTGGAATCTGTTTTCAGTTCAATAAGTAGGATGGGGACTGATGAACCAGTGCAAGGTGCCCCTGACAAAATGATTACACTGGTATGTTGAGAAACCCTCAATACTTAGTATCTTGACACTAGGAAGGTATTAAAAAAAAAAAAAAAAAAAGAAAGAAAGAAATTAGCAAGAGATTTGTCTACTTTGTTCTGTTAACTCTGTAAACAAATGGGACACAAGATCTGGTAGCAGTAAGAGTATAAAAATATTTACAGATGGTGAAACTAGGAATCCAAAGAGTTAATTAGTGGGTGCACATTAAATTCCTTCAAGAAGTTCTGAAGAGCAATGCGTGTCATACTAGTATTTCAATGTGTGGTATAGACATGTATGTGTACTTTATGAAATCTGTAGGTGATAGTAAAAGATGAGAGGCAGAGTAGAAAACCTGGCTACCTTGCAGTTCTAAACCTCTACCTACAGGTTTTGGTAAAAAGCAAATTCAAGAAGAGCTGACCATAAAGGAGATAGCAAAATAAACCAAAAACATTAACAGTTTTTGGCTCTGTTAAGAGAATATACAATACTGGAATTCAAAATGAGAATGGTCCTGTACCAAACAGACCATAAAACACAGAATTGTGTTTATTCCCAGATTAATACCTAAATCAGAATGATGATAGACAAAAATAAATACACAGAAATGAGATCAACACAGTGCAAACATACAGATACACTGGGCTCATGGAGGAGCCTGACGGAGCTCAAGGTAGGGGCAGATTCCCTCTGTGCCATTCCAGGGGCAGGACAAAGACCACTGAATGTAAGTTGCAGAATGTCACTATTATCAGGGCTTTTGGGAGCCTCATAAGGTAGCTGGCGTGTCATTTCATCAGAAGTGCTACAGGAGAGACTGAATGACTATGTCAAGATATTACAGAAAAGGGATCTACACAGGATGGTTTGGCCTTGTTAACTTCTAAAGTCTCTTTTGATTCATAGGTTGTATGCTTAGAAGAGAACTGTGAGTATGTGAGAGGTTGCTTACATGTAAATAAATTCTTAACTAATAGTTAATAAACTCTGTACTTTGGGCCAGCCAGGTAGCTTTGAGGAAGGAGGCACTGAATTGGCATAGGTTATGAATTGTTTGTCAGTAAAACCACTTCTTCTATTAGGTATTTGGATAGGTAACAGGCAATACAAATAAAGAGATGCTTAGTGTGTGTTTGTGTGTGAGACACTGGTGGTCTATTTATGATCTTGTGATAGAAATGAACATATGAGATAATTTCATCATAGAATTATATAAAATATGTCACAGGTAGCAAGGCAGGACATGTAGACTAATCTGAAAGTTTTTCAGTTAAAAAATGACCTTAGTTAATAGACTATTTTACAGTGTGTGTTCAATGGGAATAATAGGCCTGCACTTAAAAGACTGGAAATTATGTGTATTTTAGAGGGACCACCTCAACACACACATTTCATAGATTAACTTAAGTGGAATTAGTGGGTTTGTGATCTTTCTATTCCTTTCTTCTTTCTCAGTTGGAAAAAATCAAAAGCTCCACTCTGTGGCTGAAGGGAAAAGGGGTCTAGCCAAGATCAGAAAGGGCTGTCACAGCAACCACGCTGAGTGCTCCTGTCCAGCTGGCAGTCTAAAAGACCATGTCCAAATTCCAGACTGGAAAACAGACCGGCTCAAGATATCCTACTGGAAAATTCACAGAAAGAGCCAGATTCAGCTCTGTAGGAACATCTCACCCAGACAACAAATCCAAGCCAGCACAAGACCACAAACCAAATTTGGTATCTCACTCTGTGAGATAATGTTGGCAGTTTGGGTAGGGCAAAGGGAAGAGTATGAAAAAGCAGCAAGGGAGACAAAGGGACTGTAAGCCATTATAACCCCAGCACCACTTCCACCAAGGGGGGATGGGTCCACAAAGGCAAAGCTCATTTACCCTGTGTCATGTGCTGGTAAATTTTCAAAATTAATGCAATCTTTCCTTTAATCTAACATCTCTTTCCTTATGAGTAAGTGATGTAAACAAGAACAAAAAGCCTTGTTTTTAAGAGTTAGATGTATTTGGCTTAAATCTAGGTCTAACTACTTACAATAAGAAAGATCCCAGGAAAACAGTAATTTAAACCCCTAATGACTCCATTTTCATAACAGTGAAATGAGAAGATTAGCAACTCCCCAAATAGTTGTAGTTGATGAAATAATTCACACATGTAGTAACCATAACTGTGGTACATATGTGTCTAATCAGATACATGATGAGTGTGAGATGCAGATGCCTAATAAAGTTTAGGCTTCATTAATCTTTACTGTGTGATTCTTTAAATAGCTGGACATCGTGGCAGGATAATGAAGGTAGGTAGAGTGGGGGAAAGTCCTGCTTTACGGCCCGCATATAAATCTGTCTATAAATTTTTGTGCAAGTCATTATCTTTTTAAAAGATAGCAGAACACAGACTTTTCAAAATGTTATCTGATCATTTAGGCTTAAAATGACAGTCACACAACACATGTCTACATGTGTAGCAGGATATACCATTCGGGTGAGCATGATGTTCACACGATGGTAAAAATCACCTGATGTCCTGTATTTCTTAAACATATCCTTGTCTGTGAGCGTCACAGTACCATATATGCTAACAAACCAGTTGTAATATGTAGAAAAACATACCCGGCAACATCCACCAGGCTTTGTTAAACCATGTAATTTATAATTGTATCTTGTATTTATCCAATATTGCCAAGTATGCAAAGTGATTTTAAGATATGTTATCTCACCTGATCTAACTTACTACCTTCTGGAGAGAGTGTTCATAAAATTAAAAAAAAAAAAAAAAACTAGAAAAAGTGTACACTTGAGATTCACAAAAAATAAAAACAAAACCAATAACAAAAAATTCCACTATACTTGGACCAAACTGCTTATGCTATAATTACAGTGTGGAGTAGGGGGTCTAAATAATTCAAGATTATGCTCTGAGGAAAATACTCTAAAGGAGTATGTGAAATATTCCAATTGTGAGACAGCTTCATTCAGTCTTTACATGGCAGATAGCTTCACTGCTTTAATGGTTGTAAGTAATTACACTTTCAGAAAAAAAGCTCCAAGCAGTTTAAAGAACCAAAACATAGTAATGTTATTTCTAACAATGTAGAATGTAGAGACCCTAAGTGTAACTATAGCATAATATCCTTCAACTACTCTCTCAGAAGTTTACAGAAAACACTGCATATCTGCTTTCAATAATTCTTCTGTAGTAAAGCCAGAGTTGAGAATAGGAAACCTCTTTGGACACAAAAGATTTACATAGCTTCTTTTAAAATTTAATATGACTGCAGGTTACCTACAGCTAAACTGTTCCTAAAAAGATAAGCAAAAATAAGGATATGACAATTTTTAAAGCAGAGCAGTAAAAACTGAAAACAGTTTGGTTGGGTTAAGCAGACTCAAGAATCCAGAATTCAAATTACTGTAGGATCAGGCACAGGGAAATATAATTACTCACCATGTCATCTGTACAACACCCTTCAATGAGGCAAGCTAGTAATACTTTACAGATGGGAGACAATGGAACACATAGACATTAGGGAACATCCCTTACGTCACAGAGAGTTGGTGGCTGAACCTGGGTTCAAAGTTGGGAATCCTAACTAACCACAAATCATGTGCTGTCATTAACAAGCAAAGTCTTATGAGAAATTTTCTTCCATCTGTTGTCACTAATACCTCATAGTTGCTAAAGGAAAGACTGAATTCCTGACGATACTTTGAAAGTATAATGGTTCTCAGCTTTGGCTACTTGGTAGGTTAACCAAAGAAACTCAGAAAGATTCTGATGCCCAGGTCACATCCCACTTCAATTAAATCAGCATCTTGTGGGGTTGGGAGGGGGGCAAGGCATCAGTACATTTTTAAGGCTTGCTTACTTGTATAATTCCAACATGCAGCTGAAATTGAGAGCTACAGGTTCACATATGATATATATATAATTTTACTAGATCAGAAAACTTATGTAAATACACAGCACCAAATGCCTTCACAAATGAATAATCAATCATAAAGCCACAAGAGAAGTCTCTTGTTACCAAAATAAAAATTAAGGAAGTTTCTTCTGTTCATCTTCAATCATGAGACAAAATGCTTACAAACCCAAATCATACATACACCTTCCTCTGATTTACTGCACAAAATGCTAAGAAAGAACAGAGCTCCAAATCAAATCATCCATTATTAGAGCAGGAGTGTGGCTCCAGAAAAATGAACATTTTGGATACAATTACTCAGTTAAATCAGAAGATGGAAAATCTCTGCTCACCTGGGCTCTGCTTGGAGTCCAAAAGAGACGGTGCAGCTGGGCATGGCTCTAATGTACACCAGTTTTCACGGTTTATCTGAAAAAGAAGAATAATTTGCTTCAGACACTGAAGTAATGTGGGGTAACTTAACTGCTAAGACTTTATGTGCTGCATGAACCAAATCCTTCTGCTTGTTAATACTTCATTTCAAAGCTGTTAAAATTATGTCAAGGAAAAAACAAGCAAGCAAACTTTATAACACAATCAAAGCAGTCCAGACAACTAAAATTCTGAAGAGCCTATCAACAGGCATACAAAAGCAGTAGGAAAAGACAATAAAGAAGGCCATGGTACAGGCCAACAGTGGAATAAAAAAAATTAAGGGACCAAAATGACCAAATATTAAAATGTAAGTTTGATGTCCTAGTTCATAAGCTAAAAGACAACAAACTATATATTTTTAAAGTTTAAAATTACAAAATAATTCTCATTTAAGCGTTAACACAAGCCAAGTACCATGCCAAAATTTCCACATTTATTATCTCTCCAAATCATCAAAATAGCTTCATGAATTTTGTATTACTACTAGTCATTTGAAGAATAAGCACAGAGGCATTAGGTAATAAATAGCGCAAATGGCACTGGAATGTGAGGTTCTTTGATTTTATAAGCAAGCATCTCCCGTCTCCCAAAATAAGGTTTTTTAAAAGACCTAACCTTAAATCTCCCAACAATCTTAATATCATAACCTAGTATCATTTTAAAAAATTATCCTTAAAGATTTAAAAACTGCCCTCTCAGTAATTGACAGCAGACACAAATTGGTGAGAATACAGAAAATTTCAAAAATATCAACCATTATGCCCTAACCAATAAATATAGACCATTCCAAACAATTTTTAGCAGAGTGCACATTCAAGTGCATCTAGAATGTTCCTATTTTTGTGGCATAAAAATAATCTTAAAATAAATAAAAACTACGTATTCTGTCACATATGTCTCAAATTTAAGAGATATTCTGACATTATTAAATCAGAAACCAAAAAAGTTAAAAATTAAAAACTCAAAATTGATTATATAACTCAAAACTCATTATTAAAACTTACACTATAAAATTTCTAAAGAAAACATAAGAGAACATTTTCTTGTGACTTGGGGTTAGGCAAATATCTGTTAGGCAGTATGTAATGAACAGCATGAAAAAAACAAATTCAACTACATCAACATTAAAAACTGGCTCCTCAAAAGCTATTGCTAGGTAAATGAAAAACAAACTACAGATGGGGAGAAATTATTTTAAAAGACACCAATCTGCTAAAGGACTCTACTCAGAATATATAAAAGCAAAACAAAATCTGGATGCAGTGACATTTGGCTGTAATCCTAGCACTTGGGGAGGCTGAGGCAGGAGGATTACAAGTTTGTGTCTCACCTGGGGCACTGAGATGTAGCTCAATGGAAAAGCTATGAGCTCAATCCCTAGCACAGGGGAAGGTGGATTTACACTACAATAATAAAACAACACTGTTTAAGTGGATAAAAAAAAAACTTGGATAAACAGTTCATCAAAAAAGATAATGAATTGGAAATAAATAAAGAAAAAGACATCCAAAATTGTTACTCAGCAAGAAAACACAAATTAAAACCCCAAGGAGATACAACTATGCTTGCATTAGAAGAGGTAAAGTTAAAGACTGATGATACGACTATTGGCAAAGATGTTGGACAAGTGGAGCACAAAAATTTTGCTGAGAGAAAGCAAATACCACCATTTTGAAAAACTGTCTAGCCGGGCATGGTGACACACACCTGTAATCCTAGCACTAGGGAGGCTGAGGCAGGACGACTGTTGTGAGTTTGAGACCAGCCTGGGCTACAAAGTGAGCTCGAGGCCAGCCTGAACTGCATACCAAGACCAGTCTCAAAAAGACACACACACACAAAAAAAAAGGAAAAAGAAAGAAAGAACAACAGTCTAGCAGTTCCTTCTGTCAAACATATACTACACACAATATAGCATCCCACTCAGGAGTATTCCCCTCCCCCCCTAAAAAGACATTTTCATATAAAGATGACAGATAACAGATTCACAGAAAGAAGTGATGAACTACTAATTTAAACAATATGGACCAACCCCAAGAACAATGTTATAGAAGGGGAAAAGGGTAGACAAAGACTACCTGCTGTATGGTTCTGTCTCTATGATATTTTAGAAAAGGCAAACTGTACTGTCAGAAAGCATATTAGTAATTAACACAGACTGGAAGGGAAGACTAACCAAAAAGGAATACAGGAGAAGTTTTTTGCTGATACATGTATTCCTGTATGATGGGTAGTTTGCTAAAATGCATCAAACTGCAAATCTAAACTGGGGGAGGGGTGTTTGTTTTGTTTTGTTTTTGTGGTGCTAGAGATTGAAGCTAGTACTCTGTGCATGCTAGGCAAGCACTTTACCGTTGAGCTATATCCCTAGCCATAAGCTGGTGAATTTTACTGCATGCAAATAATGTGAAGTATAAAACATAAAATAAATTTAAGTTTTCATAACCCCTAAACACTTCACTATCCTCTAATCTCATTAAAACTAAAACTTCAGCTGTAATGTAAGGAGCTTCTACACACATTATCAAGTACTGGAATATAATGCTCAATGACACAATCTATGATTTTCATTTAATGACCTTTAAATACAGAATGTACCCAGCAGTTTCCTGATCACTTTGCTGAGAAGGTACTAATCTACTCTGCTGATAAAGATCAACAGTTTTACTGACTGTACTAAGAAGGATAAGGTAGAAAGCTGGGGGATTTTTTTTTTTTCAGACTATATCTGACATTAGAAGAAATGAATTAAATCAGTATCAAATGATTGCTTATGAGTGACAGAATAACCACACAGTCTAGAATCATATGAAACAAAACATCATTTGTTCATTTCCGCTCTTTACCACAAAGAAAGGCAACAAGGGCCAGCCACCTTCATCAATTGTTGGGGACCACAAATTGTAAGTTGACATAGTCGCTGTACAAGGCTGTCCTTGCCTGCCTTGTGGTCAGGTTTTGGAATGCAGAAATCCCAGTTCCTCTTGGTCACTGCTGAGGCTTTGATAGTCAGTGAGGCTGTGACTCTCACAGGGCAGGATGAGGTCCACTGAGGACAATGCACAGGAGAACTAGTACCCAGTGTGGGGATGAATCTTAGCTTGTTCCCTTTATTATGTTAAACTGTCCCATTCAACCACTACTTCTACTCTGTTCCCTGTCCGCTGCACTGGCTAGTAAGATAGAGGCAACCTGGAGATTCTTGGTTGTTGTTCCCAAAGAACATTGATCATCCCAGAGCCCTATTTCCTTGTAATCCTTGCTCTTTTTCTTTCTCAGGGTAAGGGATTGGGGCCTCACTGCAGGGGTCCCTGATAACTGGCACCATGGAAAAGGGTCACTGATAATCAATGTTTTATTTTCTAGTGTGCTAGAAAACACCAAATATTTGAAAGTGATTCTGTATGTAAGGAAATATTCAGCAGCTCCCTGGGATTATATGAAATACCATCTCTAAAATGTAATTTGGGTATGCACAACGAAGCAGGGTATGTATGAATTCAGTAACTTTATTAAACCCTACCCGTATCTTTCAATGAATGAAAATAAATTTTCTTCTTTTAAAAAAAGCATCACTCAGAAGATTTTCTCATTTAAATATATCTCATTTGAACTGGACCAAATTTAACTTCATGTAAAATAAACTTGGCTGCTAATAGCTAGAGACCAGGACCTTCATATTTCAATATGAAATTACACTTTGAATTTTGAAGGAAAAAAAAATGCATCCCCCTGCCCTTTATTCCTGTAATCGAAACAGGTTACTTGAACAGAGTAACAAACTGTGATAGTTATAGAAACCTTTAAAAGCTTAATAAACCCACTAATAACAGCGAAGAATACCGAAATAAACTACTTTGGATGATAATGGTGCTCTCTCCTTACACAGCCTTCAACAATTTTCAGCCTATATTTTAAGAAACTACCAAAATTCTATAAATTAGAATACTTGTATTACCTTTTCAATACCACACTTGTTATTCGATGGCCAATGAGTAAACAGACATTCTTTCCCTTGAGGTTGTAAAGGACTAATAGACTCAGTATGTTCCCTGTCACTTTAGACAATTTTGTATTATAAATGTTCCACAGTTTGCAAAATAATATATAAAACTAGAAGAACACAATTAAAATGAATAAAATCTTTTCAAATGAATACACTACATGAATGCTATCAATGTAGAGAAATCATTTTCCATGGATCTTGTGGGTAAAGGCACTAACTGTCCTTCTATTCTAGACTATCTTTCCAAGAATGTCTGTGTGTCAGTTTTGGAAGATAAAGAAATAGCTTCTTTCTAAGGCAAAGGGCAGGTTCCTTTACCTTTAAGTATAGCAAAGATAACATTGCCCTGTAGACCAAGGTCACACAGTTTACTACCCACTATAAAAATACAGGTTTCTTAAGATTTGGGTTTCTCAGCTCTGACACAGCACCTACCTGAGCTGAGCCCCACCCTGTTACCTTCATGGACCTTGGAAAGCAAAAAGAGCCAATAAGCAGCTGACGCTCATGCTGCCTGTTGTGCAGAGTAATGAACACATCTGTCTCCGGCCCAGAAGTCCATCACTGCAGTCAGCAACCATGAAACTGTCAAGGCTAAAGTATCTTTTGGGCTTGATAGCAGGATAAAATCTCAAACCTATTACATTTCCTGCCAATTAGTACTTATTTTATTTTTTTAAGATAGAGTCTCGCTGTGTAGTTCAGACTGGCCTTGAGTCACTATGTAGCCCAGGCTGACCTCAAACTCATGGTGATCCTCCTGCCTCAGCCTCCAGAGTGGTGGGATTATAGTGTGACCTCACATGTCCGCTAGTTAACATACAATTTAAACACAATGGCAACTCAAAATCTCTTCATATAATCATAATGATAGTGAAAAAGCCCTAACATAAGTTTATTTTAATTGAGCCATTATGCTTAAATGATTTATAGATAATATCCCTTTCAAATTCTCTGTAGTTTCTCAAGTTCTGTTTTATTGCTTGTT